ATGTTCACTATCAGAAGTTAGAGGGAATGGGAGGCTGGGGTGACTGGGAGTTGGACATTAGGGAGGGTAGGTGGTGGAATGAGTGCTAGGTGTTATATGCAACTAATGGATTGTTGAACACTACAACAAAAACTCATGATGTACTATATATTGGCTAACTGAACATAATGAAAAATGAAAAAGAAAAGAACTTAATTCACCACTGTAACATCAAACTTCCAGATGTTAGAACTCTCTGTGATTATCTGAGCTTTATCTCTGTTTACTTTCTACACCTTTAGAAATATGTTTCCTAAAGTATCAGAAAGCCAATGAGAGGTTATTTTTTAGGTCTTAGAACATTTATTAAAAATAAAATAAATTGGTTGTAAATACTTTTTCGCATGATGCCTTGTTAAAATAAGAAAGGATTCATAGGGATGTTCAAGTGTCTGGTTGCAGAAGAAACCTGTACTTGAAGTCAGACCATGGATATATATGTATAGACAGTGACCTGGTGAACTGCAGAAGCCAGCTGGGCTCTTTGGGATTTAGGTCTTGTGATATGTGTGCCCTGTGACCAGCAGGGGTGCTGTGGGACTGGACAGTGGGCCCTCCTCAGAGACTTCAGGAGGAGCTTTCACTCAATGAAACCTGGGACTAGGACTGGGCCTTGTGTTCCCTGCAGCATCAGCATCTGTGTCCTCTCAGGGCTGGCAGAATCCCCAGAGCAAGGACCTCTGTGTGTATCAGCAGATGCTTCCTCCCAGGACTCTCCCCAGGGAGGAGGCCAACACCCATCCTCCACAGTGTGTAGTGAGAGCTTAGATTCAGAACCAGGGTTCAGGGAGGGGCAGGTCAGCCACTGGATGGAGCCATTTAAACAGACAACCCCTCCTGTATCAGAGGATGGCAGGAAAATGGGACCTCAGACAACCCTGACCTCTGTGAGGACTAGAGCCTGTGTCACCATGGTCTGGCCTCCAGTCCTTCTTTTTTTTTCCTCATGGCACAAGTAAGGACAGGCCTCAGGGATACAAGATAGCCCTACAGCTGGTGTCCGCTCCTCTGTCACAGAGACTGAGAAACGTTATATGTGCCCCTGCCCCATCACCCATGAGTGTCTGGGTTTGCAGGTCACCTCTCTAAGCCTGTGTTGACCCAGGTGCACTCCCTCTATGCATTTCTGGAAGCAACAGATAGACTCACCTGTACCCATAGCAATGGCTACAATGTTGAGGGATTCTATATCATCTGATATGAGCAGATGCCGGGGAGCTCTTCCTAGGGTTTCCTATACAATTAATCAGACTCAGATTAGCTCCAGGGCTCCAGGGTCCCCAGCTGCATCTCTGGCTACAAAGAGGTCTTGGCCCATGCAGGACTTCAGCTCATCTCTGGCCTGCAGCTTGTGGAGCAGGCTGACTCTTTTTGTGATATTTTCCAAGGCAGCTCTTATAGGGACAATGTCTTCCAGAATCTTGGAGAAGTGAGACTAAAACCTCCCCAGTGCTCTCTCTGCATGTGGCAGTCACACCTATCCTGCCTGATACCAAGGCTACTCTGGGTAACATCTCTTATCATGTCTTCAGTCAACTGTCCTTCCTAGGAGCTTTGTATGTGCAAATGCCCTCTCATTTACTATACATGATTCAGTTGCTCCATGAGTAATATCTTCTTATACAGATCTCACTATATCCATAGGAATAAATCAGGCCTTAGGGGAAAGTACTGCTTCAGGATGGAGGTGGGTGACCCCACCCATGTCAGCCCAGGGTCTAAGACTGACTCAAAACGTGGGTTCTCTGAGTACTTGTAGTGGGTCACTGGGTCCAAAATAACCCATGCCCATCTCTCAGGGCCCAGTATTAAGAGTCAGACTCCTTCTTTCTGCATCTGCTCATTCCAATCTTTCTCTAGGAACTTTATTTTTTTCCCATTCTGGGAATTGTTCTTTTTTTTTTTTTTATCTCCCCACCCCGAGGTCCAGAGGAAGCAGGTCTCTTTAGGCACAGCGGTGATGAGCCACAGATCCCTCTCTAAAGTAAGATGTGATTATGTATGTCCCTTCTATGTGTGCACTGGACACCTAACTCCGGGTTTCCTCATCACTGAAGCCACCACTAGAACCATGTTTCTCTTCATCTCAAGGTGATCTGAGGCTTATGTCACAATGCTGATGAAGCTGGGAATAATCAGGGCCTAGGGACATATACAGAAAAATAAAAGAAGTTGCAACTCCACAAGTTATGGAGACAGGATCCCGGAAATACAGGGGAGTTGTGTCACCATCCACTGTTGCAGGAAGCTGACTCGGGACACACAACCAAGTCTGGGCTTTTCCCTTTTCCACTTCCCTATGCACAGGTAAATGGATGAAGTGCTGTCTGGATGTGGTTGCTAGGAGCACCTCAGCTGTTCCTCTTCTCCATACTCTGGCAACACCATGTGGCCCTTGGTTCACCTAATCAACAGTGCAGGACTCTGGATGCATAAATCTCAATTACTTGATGTTCTACAGAGAGTTACATCTTGGATAGTCTCTAAGGCTGGGAATTTCTTTACTTTCATGTAACAAGGAGACTTAACAAAGGTAGTGAGTTGGTGACTCCAAGTATCTCTCAGGGGGAGGGACCTGGGCTAGCCGAAACTGCCCTCTGTCCCTCCCCAAGTGACCTCACTCCCTGGACATCTGTATGTTTCATCAACACTGATTGCAGCCTTGGCTGTAGACCTCCCATGAACACTTGAGGCTCCTCCTCCTTATGTCCATTCCCTGCCATTCCTGTAACCCAGCAGGTATTTAAAATTGAAGCATCTCTGGAGGTATTACTTCTGCAGCTCAGCTCCATATCCATCTCATCGGCTGTGTCCTTTCTCCTCTGCTTCTCCTCAGGCTCATGAGAGGAAGGAAGAACTGAGTGCCTTTGCCATGTTCAACCATGGAATCTGGTCCAGTAAATGCTGATTGGTGGGGACAACACAAAACCTTCTGAGGTTTGCATTTGCGACAACTGTGCAATGAAGAACAATGTTACCCCTGAATATGAATGTTTGATAACTGTGGAATGTTGACCCTTCCAGGGTGGGGAATCACTCTTCCACACTGTGGACAGCTTGTGTGTATGGAAGTGCCCCTGAGCATGTGTTGATGTGATCATACTGCATATCAAAGAAGTTCTGCAAACTCAGGAAGGCTCCAGGACTTTGATGAAAGCTCTCTTTGATCGTTCTCATGGTAGTTTACTTTCAGCAAGTCTTTCAGGCCAAGATAGTCATTGGTGGGGCTACTTGTCATCACATAGTGTGCAGTTCAGGGAGCACTTGTGATAGTGGATAGCACTTGTGCACAATCACTGAGGGCTTTCTCTGAGCACTAAATGTGAGCTCTAGCTGTTCCTTGTCTGAGGTCTGCCCACAGATCTCACGTAGACTGTTACCATGTGGAGACCCTGTCCTGTGCAGTCTGGCAGGGACAGCTTCCTCATCAGAAGGAGCCTTCCCTCTTCCACAGTCAATTGCCCTGGACAGAGGGACATGGGTGGGAATGATACAAGGGTAGCACATCAAGAAGATATCTCTGGGGGTGCCTGGGTGGCTCAGTGGGTTAAAGCCTCTGCCTTCAGCTCAGGTCATGATCCCAGGGTCCTGGGATCGAGCCCCAAATTGGACTCTCTGCTCAGCAGGGAACCTGCTTCCTCCTCTCTCTCTCTCTCTGCTTGCCGCTCTGCCTACTTGTGATCTCTGTCAAATAAATAAATAAAATATTTTTTTTAAAAGAAGATGTCTCTGATTTTGTTTCTCAGTTGCAGGGATCAGCGATAATGGAACAGTCCATCTGGGGGTGAAGTGATATTTGAGGTTGGTCTTCATAGTGGGGAGTTTTGGGTTCTTTTGCTAAGACCTGTATGTGTTTATTGTTGTGGGTCAGTCCTGATTCATATGTAGTACCAGCAGTTTGCCCCTATCAGGCACCAATGTGGCAGACTACATTTATGGTGTTAGGGGCTCAATTAGGAATCCAGTTTCACCTCTAAATTGGATAGACATTATTTCAAATTTTGAGGTTGATTCCACATGGGAGACACAAAATCCAGGAAAATTACTTTAAAAAGGACAGTGGTTTCTGTGTAGTGGCTGTGATGAGGTAGACCTGACGGACCCTCACATCACAGCCAACAGGAAACTGGACACAGCATGAGAACAAACATTATGATGCTAGATATCAAAAAGCAAGCAGATAGTATTAGTTATTTTGTATAAATGTTTCCTGTGAAATCCCTAAATTCCCCATTCCTCGTGGAGTGGACTAATAGCAGCAATTCAACTTGACCATGTTGGCTGCCTCTGAGGCATGCCCCTCCCACTTTTTTGAATGACAGCGACAAGAACAGATGCAGAGTCCACGAGAGCTTCCCAGGTGCCTGCAGATAGACGTGTGACCAGCAGGGGGCGGCATTGCTCTCACGGAGTTGTTTGGTTGGTGGGGGGGAGGTGGAGCTCTGGTCAGGAAACCCCTGCCGAAACCAAGTCATCCTGGAAGGCACTGGTCCCTGATACAGTGCTCAAGTCTCAGCCGCTGTGTCCCATCTGGTACAAGAGAGTACTCATCACCCACAAACCTGTGGTTTGACTAAGGAGCTTCTTCCTCCAATATTCCCCCAACACAGAAATCTCAGAGCATCTTTACCCCTTCAATTTCTCTGTCCACATAGCCTAGCTCAGCTTCCTTGTCATATCTCAGAGAGGAACAAAGCCAGATAAAGATGGGGACAAATTTAAAGGACAGTCTTCTCCCCATTAGGCAGTAAGGTGGATAATAAAGGCCTTGCCCAGCCCAGCGCTGCTCTAGGACCTCTGGGGCTGTGACCACCATGGACTGGACTTCACTCCTCCTCATGGTTCGCTCTCAATGCACAGTTAGGAACAAGCTTTTGAGCAGCAGGGAAGCCCCCCAAGCTGTGTGGGCTGCCCTAATCTAATCCCTTATCAGCTGCCAAATTGCCCCAGCTCCATTAAGAATGTGTGACTTTGTTGCAGGTTCCCCATCCCAGCCTGTGCTGACCCAGCTGTCCTCTCTCTCTGTATCCCTGGGAACAACTGCCAGACTCACCTGCACCCTGAACAGTGGCTTCATTGTTAGTGGTCACAATATACACTGGTTCCAGCAGAAGCCAGGGACCCCTCCCCAGTTTCTCCTATTTTTCTACTCAGACTCAAATAAGCACTGGTGCTCCAGGGTCACCAGCTACTTCTCTGGCTCCAACGATGACTTGGCCAATGCAGGGCTTCTGCATTTCTGTCAGCTGCAGCCTGAAGATGAGGCTGACAATTACTGTGCTACAGTTCCTGACAGTGGGAACAGCTTTCATTCCTAAGTGTCTCAGATAAGGAGGAAGTGGGTTGAAAATCTCAGGACCCACAGATTTTGTCTCTAAGCCTCTTTTCAGTAAGAAACCTACCTGTAGAGATGTATTGGGTTGGTCTTTTCTGCACTGCAATCTATCCTTCAACAAGGAAAGAGGAACAGTCATGTAACTCTTATAAAGTGAGGCAAAACAGAGCATCCCAGAAGACACAGACAGATGAGCTTTCAGAGCCCAACAGCACATAACCACTCAATTTGGAGAAGATGAAGAGGAATAAATACTGTGTCAACAACTGGACATGCTGCCCAGAGAATATTTCCACAATCAGTTTCACTATCTTATTCTATAAAATGTCACCTTGTGTCATTACTGATGTATCCACAGCTGATAGATTGATAGTAACCCGAGTCACAGACCCAGTCTCTTCTCTCTGAACCAGCTTTACATGAACTTGGACCAGGTCCCACAGACTCTAACTGACAACACTCCCCACACCTTCCCTCCTCTTCTACTCTCTGTTCTCATATCCTCAGGCTTCAGTCTCCCCTTCTGGCTCTTGTCTGAGTTCCATGTCCCATCAATACTTTATTTTATTTTATTTTATTACTTAATTTCATTCCATTTCATTTCATTCCAAATATTATTTATTTATTTATTTATTTACAGGGAGGGAGACCGAGAGAAGGAACACATGCTAGGGGAGTGAGAGAGGGAGATGAAGGCTTCTTGCAGATTAGGGAGCCCGATGTGTAGATCCATCCCAGGTCTCTGGGATCACGACCTGAAATGAATATAGAGTTGGAATTTGAACCTACTGTGCCCCTAGGGAGCCCTGAAGCCAGTCTCTTTAATATGAAAATAAAGTTATTACATTTACTGAAAAGGGTGTGTTCATCTACCTTTAGGTATTTGTACATGGGATCTATTGTTCCTTACCCACTTCAGAACTAATTGATGTCCCCACCCATGGAGAATCATGGAGGAATCCACAGACAAGGATCACATGCATATTTTAGGATATGTCATTATTTTTCTTATGCTCCACATTCTCATTCTTAAGAACTCTCTGAACAGTAATTCCACTGCAGAAATATTTTTCTATGATTCATAAAGTCCCAGGCTGTAGTGTATTTTCACACAGGCACAAAACCATTAGCAATATCTCGTTCTCACTCCCTTGTAGATACCTGGGGACACAGGGGACAATGGGTCTGGCTGGGATGTGGGAGCAGAAAGGAGGGGGCTTCATGCTCCCCCATGCCCTGTGCTTCCAGACACCCAAAACCCCACAGTTGTAGACCTTGTGTCTACAGAGATAAAATTTGACATATTTCTTGTCACTCAACAAGACTTGGATGTCTGATTCAATCAATTGTTAATCGGTTTGCTCTCACATGAGTCCTCCTGGCCTAAATAAATCCTTTTATGGTAAAATTCTTTGATATATGTACCTCTAAATATATGTTCAGGACCCAAGAGTTTCATAAAGAGAATCACCATGGAGAAACAGCCTTCAGGGTGTTTCAAAGGCATAAAAGGGACAGGGGTCTCATTGCCTAATTTTCAGTCACACACACACACACACACGCACACACACACACACAGAACCCTCTCCCCTTATGAGTGAATAGTGTGTCTGGGACTCCTCTGCAATTTCTAGGCTCTCTGTTCTTCCAGAAATTTGGGGCACCCTGTGCTAACCCAGCCATCTTCAGTGTCACAATCTCCAGAGAGCAAAATCCTCTTCCACAGAAAATCTGGACACATCATGTGCAACTTGGGTCCTGTGGCAGCCAGGATGAATTCTGAAGAACTGCTCTTCTGGGATGAGGCTGATGCTCAGGAATCCCAGGGGGAGTCTTTCCCCATAGGCAGCCTGGTCTCTGACCATCTGTAGGCTCCAGTCAGTGCTTGGGGGTGACCAGTGCATTGATCCTGGGACAGAAGCCTCAGTACTGCTCCTCTGGAGCTCAAGGAACATGGGGAACATGAAACAAACACTCCCAGTGCTCTTGAGCCTGGGCTTTCTATCCCTCAGTCACCTCAGTGACATCTTCAGCTAGGTTGCACTCTGATGGAAATTTATCTATCCCAACCCAGGGCCACAGTACCTGTCATCTCAGGGACACTGCCCCCCTTATCTCCACCTCCCTTCCACTCAGATTTAGGATATTTGGCAGAAAAACCTGGCTCCAGTTGTCCTTAGTTAGTAAAAGTCATTCCTGTAGTCATAGCTGACTGAATGAATACTGCTTCGTCCTGAACAAGCTGGACACTGTTGCAGGGCCTGGAGCTGTGTCTACCCCAGAGAGTAGTCTGACCCCAAATTCCTCTAACCTGGGAGCTATGTCTATGTTTGGTCATTTTGTCAGCAGGATGGTTCTGAGTCCATAGTAACATGGTCCTCAAAGGGTTTCACTGGGCACCACGTTGGCCTTTCCTATATGGGAGAGCAGACATGTGGTATAAATAAGGGATTTTAGAAAAAGTGTATAAAATCCGAATTCTTCTGAGAACATAAGACATTCCTGATCCACTGTTTTCCATCCATGAGTTTAACCATCATTCCATCCATATTCTTTATGCAATAAGCACGGATCTGGAGAAAGTACACTACTGATTGTACCTGCATCTTCCCAATGACATTGCCACTGAGTTCAAATAAATCGTACTGAATGGAATTATGTGCAAAATAACACACATTCATTTTAAATATGAGGTTGGCTTTGTGGTGACTCAAACATAAGCTCTGTCACTAGGTCCTTGTCAAAGCACCTGCAATTGTAATCCCTTTCTTCCTAGAACTTTCAGCAGTTTGTGCTCTGAGGTCAGTGCCATCCACAGCCTCACACGCAGGGCTTCAGCAGACTAGTGTGTGAACTGTTATTTCAAGTAGGTGGGGAGTGTGACAGGTGACAAAGATGTTCAGTGTGTAACCCTGTAGGAATACACACATGAGACTCTACCCACAACCTGGAAAGAATCATTCCCTGGCTTCTCAGTGTTGTGGGAACCTCAGAGGATGGAGACCTTGGCAAAACAGGGAGGAGGCACATAGGAGGTAAGTCCCAACCTCCTGCACAGAAAGGACCCTGTGTTCCTGGGTACCTGTCACTGCTCTGGACTGGATCCCGATCTAGAGAAGTTTGTGTAAAGGAAGCATTTCAATACTGACCCTGGAACAGAGAAGGAGGCCATGGGCAAACTCACTCTGAACACTCATAGTAGGGCATATAATATAATGAGTCCTGACTTAATGGGAGTTGACATAGGGACAATAGGTCAAGCTCTAATGCAGGAACAGTGGACAAAACAGATGGAGTGATGTGTAGATGTGTCTGATGGGCTCTGGTCACCTTGCCACACAATGATGTGTCTGTCTCTGGACAACAGGGAGCAATTTGGTCCCATTTCTGAGCAGGCAAGGGGGATCAGGGATGGGACCTGCCACCTGGCACTGCCTGTGCCCTCTGCTCAGGGCTCACAGCTCTATCCTCCCCATCCCACTGACATCGCACAGCTCCTCCCCTGCCAAGCCCCTTACATGCTGATGCAATGAGGGACAAGACACTTGCCAGTGAGTGGTCAGGAGCTGGGGTTACATTTGCATGGATGTTCCCACCCTCTCTCTGAGGATGATGAGGGAAAGGGAGAGATCAGGGAAGGTCTGCTCACTTATGGGATCATAGAAGACAAGATCACTGATGACCTCCACCATGGTGTGGTCCCCTCTTCCTTACGCTCCTTGCTCACTTAACAGGTATGTGGATGCATAGATAAGGGAAGGGGCCAGGGAGGATGTGTGAGGCCCTTTTTATCCTCTTGTCTGGAGGCCCCAACATCACCCTCTCCATGTTTCTCCTCTGCAGGGTCCTGGGCCCAGTCTGTGCTGACTCAGCCACTTTCTGTGTCCCGGGTCTTGGGCCAGAAGGTCTCAATCTGCACTGAAAGCAGCTCCAACATCTGGGGTGGTTATGTTGTGAACTGGTATCAACAGCTCCCAGGAACAGCACCCAGGTCCATCATCTATGCTAATAGCATTCAACCCTCAGGGGTCCCCCAGCTATTCTCTGGCTCCAAGCCTGGCAGCTCAGCCACCCTGACCATCACTGGGGCCCAAGATGAGGATGAGGCTGATTATTATTGCCAGTCCTATGACAATAGTCTTAATGGTCAGACAGTGCTCCAGACCTGTGGAGAAGTGAGAAAAAAAAGAAAAGAAAAAGAAAAACAAACCTGGTATTCCCCAGCAATGGGTCTCCCTTAGTAGCTCCCACTCCTTGGTTATGTCTGCTTTTTCCTTTATTTGGACTAAACTTTAGTCTGAGACTAATCTCAAGGAAGATTGACTACAAAATCATCCACATTCTTTTAAATTAAGCCCCTCCTGGGATGCCTGGGTGGCTGTCATTAAGCATCTGCCTTCAGCTGGGTCATGAGCCCAGGTTCCTGGGATCAAGTCCCATATCAGGCCTCCTGGTTGGCAGGAGGTCTGCTTTCCCACTCCCACTCTCCCTGCTGTCTCTCTCTGTGTCAAATAAATTAATTAAATATTTTTTAAAAATTAGGCCCCTCCAGCCTAACATTGTTTTGTTTTTCTCCTACTGAGGAGAAATTTCTGGCTACCATGGTAACAGAATCTGTTGATAAGGCAAATAAAGGCTGGAGAAACCTGGCTTAAATTAAATCCCCTTACAGCTTGCCATCACGGTTAGAAACCTGACATATGCAGAGTGTGTCCTTCCTCAAGGAACTCATGGCTGGCTTAGTGCCTTAATGTGTGTATGTTTTATTGAAGAGTAAAGTAGCCTTATCTTCACAGCAGCTAGCCCCCGATGGTCCTGAATACCTTGCATTCAAATTCTTTCGAGACTTACACTATCTTTCACCCCCAGTAACAAAAACATATTACTGGGGGAGGGTTAAAATGGCAAAGGAATAGGAGACCCTATTTTAACCAGTCCCCTTAATTAAGCTAAATATCTACCAGAGCACTCGGCACTCTCATG